CACTTCCTCTTGTAAAAGCTGCTCGAAGATGAGGCAGAGTGGGCCTCCAGAAAAGCAGGCAGAAGCCATAGTCAAGTGAACGTCAGGGAGGAGGTGCAGTCCAGGCAAGGCTGTTCTGTCTCACTTTGGCTAACGGGTAAAGGAAAACCTCCACAGCAATTTTCAGACAATGAGAGAGACACCAGCACCATGTCTTCAGTCACTCACCCAGATCCGAGATGTGCTCATGAGAGCATCCCCTCTCCGGGACAGACTAGAAGACTCACGGGCTACTCGGGCCCAGACCCTGGATGTTGCACCTGCCTCACCTGGAGTCCAGATAGGAAAATCAGTGGTGATCCCTAAGGACAGTGTCTCTAAGCAAGAGAGAGAGGGAGGCTGGGCCTCAGACTACACTCAGCCCTCTGGAGTTTGAGAAGAAGAATTCATACGGAGGAGTCCATGTCATCATGACAATGACATTCACGGAAAGAGACTGATCTCACCATGGAAGGCAGGCTATGTTCTTCCGAGGTGTCTCCTACTCCATTGGGTGACTTCTAGTGGTGAGATGCGCTCCAGTGGTGTTCGGAGGCCTCACTGAGGGTGGCTGCAGTGTTATACAAGCCTTCCTTGGGAAGGAATGGCCACCCCAAAGCCACCGGCTAGAAAATCGATGGGGCTGTGTGTTCTCGTTTTTGCTTTCTTCAGGTTTGGTTTGTTTGCTTTTTGTTTTCGGTACCATCTTACTGACTGCCTGGACTGGTGGGGCAGCTGTAAACTCACATGATCCTCCACCTCGGCTTCATCTCTAAAGAGGACACTGAGCCTTCACATGGTCCCCAAAGCCACCAAAGAGATTGTGACTTAGAGAATCCCTGCCTTCTCAATGCCACTGTTTACAGTGCAGGTGAGCACTGCTGACCAGGCTGAGCCCTGCAGTGGACAAACACAGGTCCTGGGGCAGAGAGAGTGTTGGAGTACATTTCTCCACTAAGGACACATCTGTCCAGCAGCCTCTAGACTTCGTCACTAACGCTAAGGAAAACCACAGCTTCTAAGGGGAAATTCTGCCCAAACTCCAAGCATAACTAGTAGAGAACCTTGTCTGCAAAGGCCAGTGTGGACAATCTGTTCCTTGCATGGGAGTCGGGGGTGGAGTGGCAGGTATAGCAAGGGTAGAAACCATGTGACCTCACAGACTGCATCTTGTGAGGATTTTGGAGACCTAAGTGTTCCGTGGGAGCAGGCAGCAAAACTAGAAAGGAGGGAGGAGAAAGAGGAGAAGGAGGAGGAGGAGGAGAAGGAAGGGGAGGAGGAGGAGGAGAAGGAAGAGGAGGAGGCGGAGGAGGAGAAGAGGAGGAGGAGAAGGAAGAGGAGGAGGAGAAGGAAGAGGAGGAGGAGGAGAAGGAAGAGGAGGAGGAGAAGGAAGAGGAGGAGGAGGAGGAGGAGGAGGAAGAAGAGGAGGAGGAATGCTTCAAGCCACGACCTTCAAACAGAGCTTTCTTGTGCCACCTGATGCTCTCCGACCCTTGCTGTCTTACAGCTTCAGAAGATTCACCCAGGACCCCGAATTTAGTTAGGACAATGAGCCACCTAACCCACTATCAAGAAAATCCAAAGGCATTTATGGATCAAGATGGCACACTGAAGCTGAGCAGGGTAGTGCATGCCTGTAACCTAGCACGTAGGAGAACGGGGCAGGGGACACAAGAGTTCAAGGCCAGCCTGGGCTACTTAGCAAGACTATGTCTCAAAAAAAAAAAAAAAAAAAAAAAAAAAACAAAAAAACAAAAACAAAAACAAATAGTAGTGAAACTAAGTGTACAGAACATATTGCTTACTTATTTTGTCAGTCAGAATAAATGTAAAGTAAAGAAAGTTCCGTAGCCATGGACAGGAAAGAGTAGACAGGAGGCCACAGGCACCGTCCATTCAGAGCTGCAGTAGAGTCCACTAAGACGGAAGGAGGGAAGGGTCCTCACACCACGTGCCTGCAGGGGCAGCACTGAGGAACCTCCCACTTTGGCACCTAAGAAGGGCTTGTGCATTGGAACAGTGAAGGTGGGCTAAGACATGGTGCTAATTCTTGGGTCTCCTGCCCCTCCCATGCAGCCAGACAAAGGCTTTGCCTCTCTAATAGAGAACAAGAAAAAAAAAACCCACACAACCTAGGCACACAAGACTAAGCTAGGCAGGAGCAACTTCAGGATGTTCCTTGGTGATTACTGAGACAGATTCTTCAAGGCCTGGACTTAGTACTCAGGGGTCTCTGGGTCCCACCCTATGGCTTATGCACCTGGCCAGGGGAGCGTCTGGGAGTTAAAACCCAGCCTCTGTCCTAGTTGAGGACTGATCTGCTCAGAGAAAAGGAAAACTGCCAACCTCTGCCAGTGAAACAAAGCGGGTATGGTGGTGGCTTCTGCCCAGAGGAGACAGGATTACTGCACTGCACAAGTGCACTGCATGGGCTATCAGCAGCCTCTTTTCCATGCAGGAGCGGTGGGGAGATCTGTAAGCACATGGAATAAGCTCCAGAAGACACAGGCAACCACTGATATGATAGGCTCTTCAGAGATAAGCCAGACCACTGGGGGACACTAGTCTACCAGATGGTCATTGGAGCTTCCTGCCCACTCCTGGGTGCATCACATTTAAAGAGGAATAGACACAAGTATTTATTCATAATGCGAAAGGTGGAGACTGAGCCCAACCGAGACAAATGAAACTTAGAGGAAACAAAGGCAATTCTGAGAGTAAACAAAGCCCCCAACACTTGTATGGCCCACAGAGAAGACCCGTGCCCCTGACCAAGAACAGGGTGTCATGCGACAAAACCCAGAGAATAGGAAGGTTTTCAGAAGTTAAAAATAAAACATTCATGTTGGGAAGAGAAGGTGGAAAGCAGACAAATACAGAGGTGAGGGATTTAAAATAGATACAAATATTAGATGAGCCAGGGATTCAGAAAGCAAGCAAGCAACTGTAAGAGAATTTAAGAGACTTTCCATGAGGAAATAGATACCATAACAAGGGCATGACAGCATCAGGTCAGGTCCCCAAGAAGAGACTGGTGTTATCTCCAGGAATGGGGAAAATTCACGTCATGCGTAAAGGCATGGGGATAGGAATGGCATCAGAAATTTTAATAACATCATTGGCAAGGAGTGGCGAGGGCACCATTTCCACCTGCAGATCTATGCCCAGCCACATGGTAAGGGCAGAAGACAGACACTTGAAGTCATGGGGGAATAAAACCCTTAAAAATATTTACATTTATTTCTCAAGCTCCATTTCTCAAGAAGTTAGTGAAGAATGGATGGAGGGGGAAGGGGGGGACACAGAAAGAAAAGGAAGAAAGGGGGGAAGGAAGGAGATACCAACAAGCAAGGATATGTAACCGCTCCCCACAACTTAGCTCAGAAGCTGCAGTCCCCACATGCTCAAGACAGCATTTTCATGAAATAGGGATGCATGCATCACATGATCTAAATATACTGAGGAAACCCTGTATGGTACTGGTGAGAGCGGAATTCCCATCTAAGGTATTAGCAAGCCTGCTGTATGTCACACAGAAGCACAGAGGGGACTAGAAGAACAGCTTGAAGTGACGAAAGGGACCACCAGCACAAGCAAGCCTCAGGGGCAGCTGTCCTCATTTCAAACCTACAGCATTTTCTCATTTAACAGATGCTAAGCACGGCTGGAGACATGACCAGTGGTGACGGGTGCATGCTGCTCTTGCAGAGGACCCTGCTTCAGTTCTTAGCACCCACACAGGGATCTGATACCTTCTTAGGGCCTCCGTGGTACTTGTACTTATGCGCATACACACACACTTTAAAGTTAATCTTTTTAAAAACGTCAAGAGATTGGATGGCTTGCCCAGCGGCTTTCCACAGTCACCTCTTCTATTCACCCCTACACTCCATGAGATTGCTTTTTCCTTTAAAGTAAAGCCGACTTCCTGCCAGCCTGAACCCAGCGACTCTTGGGCATCTTACCTGAAGACATTTTAAAGGCGGTTAGCAACTGTAGGAGGCGAGAGAGAAGCAGCCTGGTCTAGTCCCATAAAACACAAGATTCACATCTGGGCCAGCTCTTCTCTGGTACCTCATCTGGGAGAGAACTGCTGTGTGTGAGGACATAAAACATCTCACACAGAACCTTTATCATCTGTGCTTTTGAACTTCCAATAGGACCAGGGAGTTTTTTAAGTAAGTTCTCTTTCTAGGGAGCTTCAGGCCTTCAACCTGGAATTGCTCCAAGCTCAGAAGAGCATTCCCCCTTGGAAGGCCTCAGTTCTTTCTGGGAGGGGAGGCAGATGCCAATCAAAACGGTTGAGGCCAGGTTTCTGGCCATCATGACTCAATGTGCTACATAAATTGTTTTAATTGTATTTAAAAGCTAGCAAATCTTTGGCTTGCTTAAAGAGAATGACTCCTGGACTAAGAACAATGCTCACATGCCAAAGGCAAGACGTGATGCTCCACCTTCATTGTCGATTTGATGGCATTTAGTATCACTATGGGAACACACTTCTGGATGTGACGCTAGAGGTCTTTCCAGAAGGTCTTAACTAAAGAGACACAGCCCACCCTGAATGTGGGCAGCACCACGCCATGGACTGGGCATCCTGGGCTGAACAAAAAGGAGAAAGTGAGCAGCGTACCAGCGTTCGTGTCTCTCTGCTTCCTGACTGAGCGGTGTGATGAGCCAGCTCACAGTCCAGCTGCTGTGACCCCCTTTATCATGGACGGTGACCCTGGAACAGTGAGCTCCAAACCCCCTTCTTCAGCTGTTTTCTGCCACTTATTCTGCCACAGCAACAATAGAAATGAGCAGTGCACAAGCCTTTGCAGCTGTCAAGAACACTCTAGAAGGAGCTAAGGGTAAGCTGGAAGGTTAAATAAAAGGTCGAAAAATGATGGCTTTGTTTGAGTGAGAACATTTTACTTAGTTTTTTTTTTTTTCCTTCCAGGACATTTGTGTACCTTGCTGGAAGTTTTCTCAAAAAAAAAAAAAAAAAAAAAAAGACAGTTCTAGATTGAGGCTCATGTGGCCTGTGCGCTCACAGCCAGTCTGCTTCTGGTGGGCTGTGTGACCTCGGGCAGCCTGCTTTGCTTCTTTGAGTTCAGCTAAATAAAATGTTCCCTGAGGCCTCCTCCTGACTAACAGCTTATGGTTTTTATTTACTTTTTTCTTTCTGGTTTTTCGAGACAGGGTTTGTCTGCATAGCCCTGGCTGGCCTCAAACTCAGAGATCTACCTGCCTCCGCCTCCCAAGTGCTGGGATTAAAAGTGTGTGCCACCACTGTCCGGCTCAGTTTACAATTTTATAAGGGCTGTGTAGTGTGTGCTTTTAGAGAGAGATGACAAAGGTAGGAGGGACCTCGAATCTTCCCAGACCTGAGCCTTTGCACAGAGAAGAGGACAAGAGGATGCTGGGGCGGGGGCTGAGGACAAAAGGGGGTGAGGGAAGAAGCCACTCCTTTCACAAGCTGCCTGCCCTGGCCTATACACCCTGGTTCTTCCCACAAAGTCTTTTCAAGGTCTCCGTTATGGCTGACTACGAAGGATGCGGGTGCCAAGGTGTGCATCCTGAGTCCAGAAACCTGCAGAAACTCTTCCAGCTCCACCAAGGGAGCTTATTCTGACCCCGGCCCTTCCTGCACTCTGGGGCCCTGCATGCAGCCCCAGAAGGACTTCATATTCTGTACAGAAAACTCCGCAGGATGGGAGGAAGTCTCAGGGCTATCCGAGACAGCCAGAATCTTGCTTTTAATGCAAATCTAGACTGATTCCTTCTCCTCCTTCATCTGATGGGAGGTCCTACTGGTGGAGAAGGATTGCAAAGCACAGCTCCTCCTCAATCCAATCAATGCAAAAGTGAATTAAACACACAACCCTCCAAGAACACCAAGGTGAAAGACTGTGCCGTGGCTCACAACCAAGCTGGCAGAGAACCCTCTTCTTTGGAGTCTGCCAATGCCCAGGTGTAATTTCTGGGGAGCAGGCAGGTGTGTGCCAGTGAACACAACAGGTCGTCAGGCTAGGAGAGGTTCAAGGGAGCCATGGCATCGTCACTCAAATACTCACACGCGGAGAACAGGGTACCTTCCTTCCTAGTATGGACTCTGTTCTTTCTTGAAATCAGGCAGACCCTCCCCTGAGATAAAAGTAAGTAACTCAAGCTCCTCCAGGAGCTTGGACACCTACATGTTCACACGCTATGCCCCAGGTTTGGGGTACACATTAGTAAGGACGCGCATCGATCAAACAAGGCACATTAGGAAGAATCCTGTTCACAGACCTAGTTTCCAACCTGAGCTCGGAGCACACAGTCAGGGAGGGAAGCATGCTCTCAGGTCGTAGAGAACCAAGGGGAAACTGAGCAGAGACTGAACCAGACAGCAACAGGAGGTGGGGCCTGTGCTCCCTCTGAGGTCTTCCATCTCTGTAGAAGGGGCTCGACCCCGAACAGACAGTTAAGATGCAGGAGGCAAATTCCACCCGGGTTAGGGTCCTGTCTTTTTATTCTCCAGACACACGTTTCAGAGTCGGCTGACATCAAGTTGGGGGAAGAGCAGCAAGCAGTAGACCAGGAGCCACAGGAAAAGAATGAAATAGACCACGTCGGGCTGCTGTACGAACTGTGTCAGGGAGTCGTTGGGTGGGCTCTGGCTCCCCAGGGGCACGGCTTCTCCAGAGGAGTTGGTGCCAGTCCTGCAGAGGGACAGATAGGGGACAGGATGGTCACTGGTGAGGTCCCTAGGAGGAGCACATCCCGAACCTCAACCCAACTGCCACCCTGCAGATGACGGTTTTCATGATACATCAGAAGGTCTCCATCTGTGTGTATGCTTTCCATCCAGGAAGCCCTTGGAACACCCACACAGACCCCATCTGTATCCATGACCCTTAATAGAAGGAGCTGTCCTGCCCATTTCACAGATGGCCACAGTGACGGTCATGGGGCGGCAGTTGTCACAGGCCACACGATGACTCTGATAGAGCTGCTCCTGAGCCACATCTCCTGGGACACCTCAGAAGGAGGAGGTAGGACTACCAGCTCTCAGCTATGCCTCAGGTAATAAAGGAACTTAGATAAATGATTTCAAAGCAGCCACCAGAAACAAAGTTTGGTCTTTGAGATATCACCTTCAGAGGAACTGCTAGCTTTGATTTGGGGTCAAAGTTACCTTTCTTTTATGTGGTGGGAGGCAGTGTTTAACATGCCGTTTTGCTTTTGCCTGGCAGGTAATAAACAGGGTGCTGGCAGGGGAGTTTGGGTGGTGGTAAAAACCAAACCTCAGACCCAAATGTACCAGGGAAAAGGTAGGAGGGGTGGTGGGGGACCACTACACAGAAGCCTGAAACATGAGCTTCTTGGGGCCACTTCCAGGCCTTGGATGGGGGCTGTGCGAAGCCTACGCCATCTCCCGACAATGACAGGTAAGTCTGTGACATCTCCCATAGAGGGATTTACGCCCGAATAACAGACACTGGGCACAATTTCTCTGGCTTAAAGTTATCTGTAGGGAAAATATGAATGATATTTGTTTATATTTTCCTAGCTGGAGGTAGGAAAAACTCCTGCACATGTCAAGTTCTTGTTTCTTTTCAGAGCCCTCCCTGACCAAAGCTAAAAGCACTCTCTCCCTAGCTGAAGGCTTCCTTGGGCAGAGAACTGAGATTAACATTTCTCTTTTAGGCCCGGGAAGAAGAAAGCAGGGTGTCTTCCTTGTATTTGTTTTTTAGGAGCCAAAAGAGTGGAGGTCTAAGGGCCCCGTTCCCGGGGTGTTGGGTAGAGACTACCAACCCCCGTCATCTAAATCCTTCCAAGCCCATGCAAACCCACAGGAACGGGGTAATACGATAAGGTACTTCTGTGACTTTAACAGGGGCAGGGCCCCGTCAGCACTAAAGATTCTGTTCCCATCTCCGGGGTTCTAGGCGGACTGGTTTACGATAACTCGAGAACAATCAACTAGACCATCTAGCTCTCCACCAGTAACAAATACTTTCATAGACAGCCTGGCATGTTTGTATTCCCGCTTCATGTCTGCTCTGATGCCGTAAAACTGTAAAATCAGCTCAGTGAGCTTCTGAGAATTGTACCTGCAGTGGGACAGAAGGGACACAGGGTCAGGTGCTGTAGCATTGGGACCCTACAGCTCTACCCAGGCGACTGGACTCTACCTTTCAGAGTAGTACTCCAGCACAGGTGCAGACTCAGAACCCAGACCCATCTTCTCACTCACACATTCCGAGCTCTGTTCTACCCCCTCTGCCCGAACTCAAGATCTAACTTTCCCCTCATCAATTTACATCCATTTCATTTGGGATTAGCTATTTTCCCAAATAACTAATAGCATGATAAATAAGGCATAGTTTTTTTTAAAAAAGGCCCCATGAGGTAGGACACACACACAGACATACGCACAAATGTATATTCCCTCTCTCTATATATATATCTATATACAGATATATACATGTATCTAAATGAAGACATATATATTTAAACCCCACAAACTCATGGAATGAGGTCACCAACCTGTTTAACACTCTGTTTCTCCGCTCATCCAGATCGGCTGCGTTCCTCAATTGAACATAGCTAAAATGGTCCTACAGTGAAATTTATAAACAAAACCCCGCAACCCAATTAGTAAAGATGAAATCTCTGAAACAGAAAACAAGGTGAGTTTAAGCTTACAAAGCCGACCGTGCCACGCTTTTCTCGATACTGCAGACATCTAGTTTCAAAAATCAAATTGACAAACAAGAGATACCGCCCTGCCTCCCCCCACCCTTGCCCCCCTGCCCGAGGGTGATGGGGAAGAGACCCACCCACCTCCTAGACAGGCCCTGAAGTAAGAGCCACTGCAGGTCTCCGCACCTGCAGAGGTCACAAGGATCCTTTAGTGACGGGGCACCCTTAGTTTGACTGTGATCTTTCTAGGTGTGGGTGCAGAGTTGGGAAAGTGTCTTTTTTTTTTTTTTTATGACAAAGAGGCCTTTGGGCTTTGAAATCAACGCTTTATTTACACCTCTTCTTGCCCCAACTGGATATCCAATTGGACTGTGCTTAACATGGTTTCAAGTGTGTCTGTCTTCTATCCCAGTGTAAGGTTGGTGCAGGTCAGTAATCCCAAAGCTCAGGGCTGGGAGAGGGAGGATGGGCCGATAGGTACCGATTAGCAGGGGCCATAGAGAAGGAGAAATTCACATACTAACCAATTCCAAAGACCTATTAGCATGTCGCCGAATGTAAATGCTGGAGTCACTGTGGCTATTCCTGAAAAGCAAAAACACGTGGTGAATGGGCACTGCCCAGGGCACAAGGGGACCAGTCACACAGTTACCCCATCTGGAAGCACAGTTGTGGTTTCAGACCCAGAGACAGCTTGTATCTACTCAGCCATACTGTTGAAGCACACAGCCAGGTGTGGCCACAGACACTGGGCCTTCATCTATACCCAAATGCAAATCAGGGTTTTTTAATAGGAAGCAGACCACATATTTCTAAAAAAAAAATCTAGGATCTGGGCCAGGACTGGGGTCTTTATATACAAACATCCTGAGGTTTGGGGCTTCACCTGAAGCCCCCTGCAGGCTAAGGGCAGAGCTGGGCCCAAGGCCCTAAGGCTGGACTTTCTCTTGCGATGTGGTGTTTCTTGCTATGTGGCTACTTTCTGACAATACAGTTCTAGGGAATACCACCATTTTTTCCTTTCCTACAGAAGGAGACTGACTTTATGCCCGAATCTTTGAGGCCAACGTGGAATGCCCCTTGGTCTTCTGAGCAGAGCTGACGCCCACAAGGAGGGGCAGAAGAATCCTGGGCCATCAACTGTGGCTCCTGCTAAGAGCTGTCGACGCTAGTCGGGAACTGACATCCCTATTCAGTGTTCTTCCTCTGCGGAATGATGGATCATGCCATCTGCTTCAGGACGCATTGGGTCCTGGCTTGCTGCCAAGCAGAACTAGGTGTCCGGGCAGTGCCATACACCTGACGACAATGTCATCTCAGTTTCCTTTAAGCAATTTCTCACTACATGGCTTCCAGGAGCCTGGCCCTGGGCCTGAGTATATATAATCTCAGAAAGTCCCTGCAAGTCAGCCTTGGTATCGTTCAATCCAGGTAATATCACACATGCCTCATTGCCACCGTCGCACAGGCATGAAGCAAAATGCAACCTCAGCATCAAAAGGGACCCAGGGGTCCAGATCTCAGCAGTGTCCAGAGTAACCAGATTCTCCAAGGCGCAGTGCTGGGTGCTGTAGAGCCCCTTCTTGCCCTCATGTGTGGGTAACGCTTCCTAACTCAACAGCGCATTCCTGGTGGGAGGGAACGGTGTCTCCGCTCTGCTTTAGCATGCTTTCTCCTGGGTATTTTTACATTATAGCCCATCAATGTGAGCCTTGTAGTGAGTGTGAGCACTGCCCTTCACTCTCCCACGAACCAGGGGCTGAGGATCCATCTTCTGACCTCCAAAAGACAGGCGGAAGCAGAGTCAGTCATTCATACATTTATCTACCCAAAGAGTCGAGTGCCCGCTGCAAGTCAGGGCCATACTAAAGTGAACTCCACGCCTTGCCTTTGCCTGGACTGGAAAGTGAGTTCAAAGCCAGCCTAGGCAACTTAGATGCTTCCTCAAAATAAAAAGCCAAAAGAGGGCTGGGGAAGTAGTTCTGTGGTAGCCTAGCTTACTCGCCTAGCATACATGAGGCTATGAGTTCAATCCCCAGCGCGGCCCAAAATGATAAAGAGACGAATGTTCTATTACAAAAAAAAACAACACACAGGTGCTATGATACAAGAGTGTATCAAAAATAACCCGTAAGAATTCCAGGACATCTGCTTGGAGGAGGTGTAATGGAGTTGCCCCCAGAGGCTGAGCTGGAGCGATCCAGGGAACAGAGTTGAATGCAGAGCGACAGTCCTCCAGTTTGAAGGAGTGTAAAGCAAAGTATGAACCCAACGGAGGGTAGGCAGCCAGGACCAGAGGTGTGGAATACACGTATGAATGATCAGAAAGGCATGTATAGTGGAGAGGCACCCAGAGAATGGTCCCACGCTGTAACCTCGAGCCAGGTGACAACCTCCCAGAAGTCCTGGGGCCAGCAGGTAGAGGCTTCAGGATGCCCTCCCGTAAGCTCACCTCAGTGCTACCTGTTACAATGGAGTTGCTGCAGAGCTCTCTGGGCTAACTAGGTCTAGCCACACTGCAGCATCCTTAACCACAATGTGCCTGAGCGCTGGGGAGCAGGAACTGGGAGGTAACTGCTACCTGTTCTGTGACCAGTAACCAGAATCTGTGTAGGGTGCATGGCCAACCTGACGTCACACCCAGGGACACGGACACTTCTGTCTGTTCTCCTCAGCCAGTATCTATGGCTTGGGCTTTCTTGCACACACTCCCACCACTGATGTACTGTCTATTCAAGATGCTCACTCTCCCTAAGAGAGCAAGCCCCTGCCTCAGTTTCTCAGTGAGGAGATCTCAGTGACGTACCTGGAAGGGACCTTGTGTTCACAGGGGTTTTCTTCAAGGTCGTCTGAGGAGCGGACAGTCCCAGGGGCTATAAATAATGAGCTCTCTACTTGGTCCACATGTTTCCTTTTTTCTTTCTTTTTACTGCTAGTTGAGGCTTCCATTGACTTTTCTTCTAATGGCTTTTCAGGGAGTTCCGGGTTTGGGGCTTCTTGGGGCTAGAATACAAAATAACCAAAATACAGGTCAGACTCCCCACTGAAGCAGATGGCATCATTGCCCAGGCTCTACTCTAAGCCAGCCAGTGTCAATCCCTTCCGATGTGGATGGCCCAGGAGAGAAGCCCAACCCATCCCTGCTCCTTGTGCTGAGATCCAAGGCTGAGAATCGATGGAGGAAAGGCAGCAAGTTTTGGAGCCAAGAAGCTCAGTGATATGAAACCCTGCCCAACTCAGCTCCTTAACCTTAAGCCACTGACGGTCACTCTTTGACCCTCACCCTCCCAGATTTCAGACGGGTACAGTCACCATCACCCTCTTCCCTCTGCAGCACATCCCTTAGAGGGCAATGGCTTACAGCAGGCAATGGCTGAACTTGAGCCAGCTGGCCAAGTGCAAATGCAGAGTCTGTGGGAGGACACTGACATTGTGCCTTTGGTGGAAGGACCACAAGGCCACATCTAGTCCTTACTGGGAAGGGGGCTATCTGGCCACTGTCACACTGAGCACCTGATAGCCATCAGCCATGCCCCCACTGGAATCTAGAAGTTCGGGAACAGCAGGGAGAACCTGCTCAGCAGGGGCCAGATAAGGGATTTGGAGGCCAGGTCAGCTACCCTGAACAAAGCTACAGGTAGGAACCGAAAGTGCTCTTAGCCACACGAGACCAGCATCCTTCATGGCTGAGCAGAGACCTTTCCTAGAGGGGAAACGATAAGAGGATCTTGTTTATGCTATTATTATTTTTTTAAACGATCAGAACAAGACAAACTTGCCATTTTCCCAGTCTTTGGCTTGCTCAGACAGTCTTTCCTTTTCTGATAGGAGACAGACTCGGGGCTCTCTACCCCTATGGACTTTGCACATCCCCAGGGTAAAGTAGGGGCTGCGCTTGGGGACCAAAATGCCAAATGGGGTTGGAAGCAGCAGGCAAGCAAGGCTATGGGTCAGAGCCATGATGGTGTCAATATTGCTCCCTCTGGATGCAGGGTGTGCTCAGAGCTGGGGACGGAAGCCTGAGCTGCTCTCCCCCTTAGCCCTCCCACTGGCCACCAGTAAGACGTGGGGCAGGACGAGATTCTAAGTATTCGGAATGACCATATGGTTCCAACCCAGGGCTGCCCCAACCACCCTTAACTACCCATCGAACACTCTGCACATAGCAGGCGCTCAATATGATTTCAGCAACTACGGGCAGAAAGCCTATAAAAACGAAGGGCCAGGCACTGAGGATGTGGCTGTGTTAGTGGAGAACTTGACGAGCAAGAAAGAAGCCCTGGGTTCTGTTCCCAGCACTGCATAAGCCTGGCAGAATGGTACTCAGAGGTGAGAACAGGAGGGTCAGATATTCAAGGTCATTTTTGGCTACAGAGTTAGTTTGAGGCTAGCCTGGGGTAGCTGAGAGCCGGTCACAACCAGTAAAACAAAAAGAATGAAGGACTGGACTTGCATTTCCATAGGCTGCTCGCCCAAGGCCAAGGCCAGGATGTGATTTGCTTGTTCACCCACCTACCTGCCTTGCCCTTCATAGCTTTTTGTCCCCGAGCAACCTGGAGAATTAATTATTCAAGTTGTCCTGCACATCTCCAGCCTAGACATCAGATCTCACTGAAGGCCACGTCCAGCCCTGCCGGCTTCTGCCAGTTTTCCACAGGAGGCACTGCTGGGCAGAACTGGCAGCCCACGTGTGAAGAAGTGTGTGGATGGAGTGGCTCTCAGCACCAGGGGAAGGAGACAGCTGTGTCGGACACCTCTGGAACCACCCACCAGCCCCCTTCTCCATCTTCCTTACAGCTGTGGAGCACATTGTTCCCTAATTCTCCCCATTGTGTCCCGGATTGACAAACTGAACCACAGCAGGCTCTGGTGATGGCAGTGTGCCACCTCAATCCTAAGCATCTCTGGGGGCTCCCTGCACTCCCCACAGAGTGTAAGGCTTTCTCAGCCCTCCCAGTAGCACTCATGAGCCCAGCTATGTCTCCCCATTTATCCTCGTTTCATTCCCAAAGCGATATGCACTTGACCCCTGCATTTGACAGACTTGTCAGGCACCACACTGGTCTCTAGAGTCCAAGGATGAATAATAGATGGCTACTTACTCTTGGGATGGAAAACCAACAACAACAACAACAACAACAACAACAAAAATCCCAGCCCAGTGATGGAGGTGCACACCTTTAATCCCAGCACTCAGGAGGCAGAGGCAGGTGGATCTCTGTGAGTTTGAGGCCATCCTGGTCTACAGAGTGAGTTCCAGGACAGCCAGGGCTGTTACACAGATAAACCCGGTCTCAAAAAACAGATAAACCCTGTCTCAAAAACCCAAAACAAATAAACAAACAAATTCCCAAAACCAAAACCATGGAAACAGGAAAGAACCGGCGGAGTGTGGTTGGCCCCAGCTAAGGCAGCAAGATCTCTGCGAGGGCAGGACCTGGGAGGAGGCAACCATGGTACAGAGCTCTGAAGGGTGAATGGCCACTTGCTAAATGCTGCAAGGGGAAGGACCACACAGGACATGGGTCTGGGAACCAGGAGAAGCTGGCTTTGCTGGAAGGAAGGCAGAGAGGAGTGGACAGTCAGGTGGGAGAGGAAAGCATGTCAAAGGTCATGTTAAGGAAGTGGGGGTGGGGAGAAATGAGATGACACTTGGGGTCTAGGGGCCCCTGTGTGGGACACTCTGGACTAACTGGAAGAGATAAGAAGTGAAACACAGAGGAAAAGATGAAGACAGAGACGGAGCTGATCTGGAATAAGCTGGTTCCATTCCTAGGCTGATTCTGGCACTCAGGGAATGTCCCCCACCGTGTAGCTTTCCCACACTCTCCAGCCTCTCTGGGTCTGAGGAACCCTTTGCAGGGCTACCTCCACATCAGGTGCCATTCTGTGTGCACCGCTCTGGGCAGTGTGGCACACCTCTCTTCCCTCACTTTGCCATGACGCTGGTCATGATGGTTCCTTCAAAGGGCTGAGCCAGTGGTTCTCAACCTTCCTAACGCTGGGAGCCTTTAACACAGTTCCTCATGTTGTGGTGACCTCCCAACCATAAAATTACTTTGTTGCTACTTTATACCTGTAATTTTGCTACTGTTGTGAATTGTAATGTCAATATCTGATCTGCCGGATATTTGATCTGCAACCTATGTGAAAGGGTCATTCGATCCCCCAAAGGGGTTGCGACCCACAGGTTGAGAACCACGGCTGAGCTGACAGACAAGCCACTGGAGCTGAGCTCAGGTCCTCTTCCTCCCATCCATCTCTATATCCCAGCAGGGCTTAGACACCCCCTCCCCCACCCACCCAGGCTTCCCTGGGCTGCAAGGTATTTCTTTGTATGAAGACCTTCCCTGCTCCCCGGGAAGTCAGGCTAGGGCTCTGTGTGCCTGTCCCCTCTTGTCCCCTCCTTGACATAGTAGAGACACAAGAGGCTGACAAGCGTGTGCTCAGCTGCTTGAGATTAGAATCAGTGCCCCCCCTGCCTGTCTACGCAATCCACAGCAAGTCACCAGAACACAGCCAAGGCATCTAAGAAGCATACCAATGTGAGTTTGCCCTGTCCCCTGGGGGCCTTAGGAGATGACCTGATAGTTCACCGTTAATGGCTGTTTTTAAATGATCACCTGCTGCTCTGCTGGGCCCTCACACACAATCTCATTTGTCCTCTTAGAAGCCCTTTGAGTAGGGTGTGGATTAGAATAAGATCAGTGGGGTGACTGGTTGCAAAATTTTAGCAATAGTTCCCGTTTGGGTGTCAAGGCAGTACCTGCTGGAGTCTCGTGGAAGAAAAAATTAATTCTATGCTTATGAAATCATAAGGGAAGACGTACAGAGGGAGAAGCTCTTAGTTCCCAAACCTCAAGTACCTGCTGGCTCTCCATGGGGCCATTCTCTTTGGTTTCCCTCTGTTGTTGGTCCTCATAAGAGGGTGGAGAACCAGGTCTTGAGGTTGATGTGGGCCCCTCAGAAGTCCCATCAACATGGGACGCCTGGTCACCGGTGCTGGGGTGGCCGTTGTCAACAGGCGAGGAGAAGCTGCAGCTGCTTTGGGAGCTGTGGGCCTCCTCCTCCTCCCTGGAGTCCTGGAGATAGCCCTCGTCTGGCTCCCCTAGATCTTCGCCTTTCAAATCCTCCCCATCTTCCGCATAAGCCTCCAGTACTGCAGCCAGGGGCACCTCATAGTGCGGGTAATAGAACAGGTCATGGGGGATGACGGAGATCTTCGAGAGTGGTGGAGAAGGCTTGAAATCCAGCCCTTCTTCACTGTGACTCCTCAGGGTTTCCAGGCTGACGCTGGTACTTGGAGGGTTGGATGGCACTTCTCCGCCGACCCCGGAGAGGCCTTCTGCTTCACCTTCTTCCTCGCTGCGATGCCGGGTGGACTTTCTCTTGGCCTTTTCATATACTTCGGGTTTCTTATCTGCAGGCGTCTCTTCTGGGGGCGAAGGATGGTCTTGATCTTCTTGTTCCGGGCCCTTGGGAGGAGGCTCGTAGTTGTCAGCCTCTGACTGGGATTCAGTTGACTCTGTCTCTGCGTGGGGAGACTTTGATTTCCTTTTCCCCGGTTTCTCAGTGTTATTCTCTAGCACCTCTTCCTCCCCAGGGGTCTTCTCAGGGGGTGAGGGATCCTCACCAAAAGCCTGGCTGGTGGAGGCAAAATCTGCGAGGTCCCTGTTAAACTTGGAAGCCTTCAGTGGGATGCCTTCAAAATAGTCATCTTTATCCATAGGCTCGACAGTCAGCAGCTGAACCTTGAGTTCTGTGGAGTTGGCCAGGATAGTATGATCTGCAGGGGATGGAAGAGAAGGGCCTTCCTCACCTTGGCTAGCTTGAGTCTCTACACTGCCATTACAGAATGAGGGGTCCTGAGGAGGCTGATCATGATGGGGCACACCATCCACACCAACAATGTCTTCAGGGCCCCTGTCTGAGTCAGTTTCAGGCACTGGCCTGGCTTCCTGTTCTGTCTTCTTTTCCTTGGCAACCTCAGCCAATGAGCCATGACCATCCTGCTTCGGCAGATCCTTTGCCGCCCTTGGGCTCCCCTCAAAGCGGAAGTCTGAGCTGTAGAAAGGGTCTTTGCTACATGAGGCATCCTTGTGCAAGTCAGCCTCAAAGTGGACGGATTTCTTGATCGGCAAAGAGTTGGACCTCCGGCCGTCCTTTCTTGTTGATAAGATGGAAGATTCTGGAACTGGCTCGGTGCTGGATCCGGTCTTTCCTGGGCTCCCCTGGAGGACTTCGTCAATAATCTGGTGCATAAACTCAGTTGCGCTGTCCGACAACTTGTGGCTGGGCACGACACCCAGACAGAAACCCTTCGCGCTCTCAGGCTGGTCACAGACGAAGACTTTGGCAGGAGGCGGGTGGCTGGTTTCATGGTTGACAGTGTAAGCTCGCTCTCCATTCTCGCTGAGGAGGAGGACCCGGCTCTCCTGTTCAGAAGGGCTTTCTTTGATTCGGACAAAGGTGGACTCGATGGGAGCTTCTCTGTCTGGATTCACCAACTCTTCCTGCCAAGAAACACAAGATAACATGAAATCACAGGTTCCACCTTCAAGTACAACCCCAAAAAACAACAACAAAGCTACGTTAACCCGAGTTTACCTGCTGAGATGCAAAAATCTCAGGTCAATAAAAACATGAAATACGCTTTTTTGAAACTACAGGTGCAAAGAGACTATCAATGCACTCAGTGGGGTGTTGGGTGTACTTCAGTGAGCAGCACCTCAGCCGCTTTACCCTGCCAGAGAAGGAGCTAGTCTGCCTGAGGTAAGGAGAGACCAGCCACCTTTCTACTGACCATGTGGGTCACTAGGAAAGCCTGAAGCTAAAAGTGGTCCAACAGTAACTCTCACCAGAGTCTCGTGATTGATTCCCCCCAGGGGCGTCTTCAGTGGGACAACCCAGGAAGGACTGGGAAGCAGAGCAGACATCTGTGGGGACTGCAGGGCTGGCTGGGGTTCTGGTGAGTGCAGGGATAGAGTGGACTGACCTCAGAACGCGAACCCAGATGGCAGAAATGAACTAACACCAACACGCGTCTAGGTTCCTGAAACGGTCAGACCGAGCAACTCCCATCTCGGGTTCAGGAGGAGGCTATATCCCCTGCTTGGTTGTATTCCCCAAGGGTGCATGTGTTAGAAGTTTGGTATCTAGCGTGGCTATAGGAGGCACGGAGGGACCTTTAATGGATGAGGCCTAGTGCAAGGTGATTGGGCCACAGGGAGTTCTAACCTCAGAAGGAAATGACATCCTTCTCATAGGACCCCAGTTCATTGCAGAGGAAGCTGCTTTCAGAGTGAAGAGCCAAGTGGCTTTCTGGCTTCCTGCTTGGCTATGTGACCTCTCTGTCTCACACACACTTTGACTGTAATGCCCATTAGGTCCTTTCTAAGGTGCTGGTGCTAACTCAGACTCTCAGAGAGTCAAATCTCTCTCTCTCCAGGTTTATTTATTTTATGTGTATAATGTTTGCCTGTGTGTGTGTACGTGTGCGTGTGCGTGTGTGTGTGTGTGTGTGTGTGTGTGTGAACCGTGTGTGTGCCAGGTGCCTACAGAGGAAAAAGACGGTGACAGATCTCACCCTGGAACTGGCTGCAGATGGTTGAGAGTTGCCATGTGGATGCTGGGAACTAAGCTCGGGTCCTTTGTAAGAGCAGCAAGTGTATTTATCAGCTGAGCTATCTCTCCAGCCCCAAATCTCTCTTCATTATATGTTATCTAGCATCTGGCATCTTGTTGTAACAACAGAAGACAGAGCAACATAGAAAAAGAAAGCCTCAGTAGCTACTCTTATTTTGCATACTTTCTCTGCCAAGAGAGAAAATCAAATTCAGGAAATAAGCAGGAGAATGAAGCCTACAAACAAGGGAGGCAACAATCACCAAAAGTAGACCCACCTATAGCTCAGGATTGGAATTACGACAAGGAAGGCTCTAGAATAACTAGTGTATGCTGCAAAAACTACAAAAGACATTCTTTAGGAAATGATCACAGATAGAAGCCCGGACTTGAAGAGGGGCAGAAAGCACTCTCAGAGGGTAAAGGTGCTTGCCATGTAAGTCTGACGACCTCAGGCCCATCCGCTCCCACAAGCTGCCCCCTGACCTCCATGAGCTCACCCTGCAAGCACACACTCCTGACCTTCCCCTACAATGTATACAACAAACAAAACAACAGTAATAATAAAATACATTTTACAGTTTCCTTTAAAAGAATACTCCTACTGACTACTTAAAGCAGAAGGAGGAGGAGGAGGAGAGGAGGAGGAGAAAGAAAAAGAAGAAGCAAGAAAAAGCCCAAACACAAGTATTAAAGACTAAGAAAGAAAAATCAATAACACAAAAGAATGTATCACACACACCACAGGCTGAAACAGGCTGCTCTGCGTGAACCAAGACCCTTGCTCCTGCCATCATATCCTTCTCAATCTCTCTAGTCCTAGGCCTGAAGAAGCCACACTTAGATTTGCTGAATCTTGACCATGACCTTGAATAATCATACTGTCAACTTTTAATTCAGTGCTTCACAACCTTGCGTCATAACCCCTTTGGCAAACCTATACCTCCAAAAATATTTAAGTTACAATTCATGACAGTAGCAAAATTATAGTTATGAAGTTGTAATAGAAATAATGTTATGGTTGGGGTCACCACAGCATGAGGAATGGTGTTAAAGGGTCACAGCCTTAGGAAGGTTGAGAACCACTGTTTTAATTGTTTTTCGATTCTGCCTCTGGGTTAGGAGCTCAGGCCTAGTGAAAACCCTGCTACCGAAAGTGGAATTCTATAGTAATTACTGCCACCACCTCTTGTTGAATGTTCATTCCGAGCCACAAGCAAAATCAGGTTATTCACACAGGTAGTTAATTTTTGCACAAGCCTAAAATGTGGGTGATGCTTTCCACGTTCGAAGGCATCTAATACAGATGTCAGAGAGGCTAAGGAACAAGCCTAGGTCACAGAGCTTCAAGTGGCAGCCCAGAAACTCCTCTTCAAAATATCATGGTGCTGGAAGAGGTGAGAACCACATATAAGGGTCAGGCAGTAATCTAACCTACGGCTCAGAGGGCCACTGGGAGTCTCTGCTGTATAGCATAAGGCTCCAGTCTCAGCGGTATTTTTACGAGAGCCAAGAACATGAACTTGGGAAACACAGAGTTCTGGAGTCTGCTGCAATCCTGATTTAGACTACTGTGTGACCCTGAAGAGACCTTTAGGGCTCTCTGGACAGTGGCGTTCTCATATGTAATAAGAGGATAAAGGAGGTGAACCATACAGGACCTGTAGGAATGATAGCTGTGGACACAGCCTCCAGCTACAAGAAGGTCCCTATCCCCTAACATTTTTTATTTCTTTAGGCATGTATTTTTTTCTACCAAGCACTTAAATCTACTGGAAACTGTGATCATCTACCAATGTGTTAACTGCCTTCTTTGCTAGATCAAAGTTGCATCACCCTAAACGCCTCATCTGTCCAACTGATCTGTCCTATTTTCTTAACTTGTTTTTTTTTTTTAATTAAGTTTTGCATAACTGGAGACCAAACCCAGAGCTCTGTGAGCACTAGTCAATGTCGTAGCACTGAGCTACAGCCAGGTCTGGTCCAATTACTTGCTGAGTTCCTTGAGCTGGTGCTAGGTATGCAGTAAGTGAAAGATGGCTCCCACCACAGGCTGTGGTTGTTGTTCTTATTGTTACTACTGTCTCAGGGTTTGATGTACACATATGTGTGTTAAGTGAAACCATGACAACTTCATCCCTGACCCAAACCTATCTTCAAGTATGATCTGGGATTCTAAACAGTAAAAGGGGTGGCCAGGGAACAGAGGCACATAATTGCATTTCCAGAGTGAGGAAGCTGAGGCAGGAGGATTGCCACATGTTCAAGGCCAGCTGGGGCCATAACATGAGATCCTGCCTCAAAAATGCTACCCTAGAGAGATGACTAGAGAGATGGCTCAGCGGTTAAGAGCATCGGCTGCTCTTCCAGAGGTCCTGAGTTCAATTCCCAGCATCCACGTGGTGGCTCATGACCATCTACAACAGGATCTGATGCCCTGTTCTGACACGCAGATGTACATGGGGAGTACTCATACATAAAATTAAATAAAGTTTAAAAAATTCTACTCCCCCAAAAAAATCTCCCCCTAACACACATACACACACAAACACACACACAAATAAACTCCACAAGCATGCTTTTGAATGGTCATTCTCTATTATAATTTTGAACCTTGGTAAACATTGGTGAACATGGGCTGTTCCACTGGGCATATAAGAGTGAAGTCTGGATTACAAGGAACTTGTCACCTGAATCAAGTTTGGAATGGGAAGAAGTATGTGTGAGATGTGACTGGCGACTGGCTTTCTGTCCCATGGGAGAGCCTGATGTATGTCACAGATGGTTCAGAAACTCAAATAAGGCAAGGAAGCTGAGGTCACTTTGTTGCCACCAACCACATAGAATGACACAGCCCAAGCCCCTGCTGTGTCCCCTGGGGACCCAGTGAAACCGCACAGTTCTGAATTAAAAGTAAGGGAAAGAAACGTACAGGCTCCAACTCTGGAAAGCGTTCTAGAAACTGGGCCACATACGTCACGATGGACTGCTCATCCGGCATGTCAACCATGATGTCTGTTGAGAGAGACATGGCATTAGCAAAGACACATGCTTTCTCCACAGGACCACAGGGCGATGGTGAGGAAGGCACACATGTGAAGAAATTTAGGCTCAGAAAGGGGGACGGTGCCTTTGGCTAAGGTCCCACAGCTGGCTGAAGGACAGAGGAACTGGAGTGGAGAACCTGGGGATCCCACACTTGGGACTTTGCCCTCTTTCCTTGATTCCCTTCGCTGCGAGCAGTCAGCTCATTGCTGGGCCCGTGAATAAGCACATCTGGTGACCATGCTAACCTGCTACAGGGAGTCCCAAATTAAACACCCAATGTGGAGCGCAGGGTGACAAAACAGAGTTGCACACCTTTGAAAGGAGTGTACTTCCCTAACTCTGTCATTCTGCAGGTGGGAACTGGTCCTTGAGGTATAGGCAAAGGCATGTTGGGTAAGTAAGATGTTTATGGTCATGCTGTATTCAAAACTGATTCTTCCTGCTTCCCTTCTCTTCCTCCTTTTATTCTTTCTCTCTCCTTCCTTTTCTCCCTTCTTTCTTCCATCTACAGAATTGGAGATCTAAGCCATGGCCTCACGCTTGCCACTGAGCTATGCCTTCAACCCCCCTGAAAGGGTCACTGCTGAAGTAACCTCAGTGACTCAAATACGGAGGTCCTACAGGTACTATGCAGCCAATATAAATATATAACCAGGAGATTATAGAAATATACTAGCTAAATATCGATATTACATTTGATAAGTGAAAAAAGAGATAAAATTATATATATCCTAAATGATACCAATTATGTAACGATATTATAATTAGATGCACATAAAAAAGACTATAACATAAAAAATATTTTTTTCTTCATTAGGCTTTTATTTTTACTTTCTGAGTTTTCTACCTGGAAGAGCAGATGACACACTTGTAATAATAAGAACTAAAGGACAGAGAGGTCACTGTACCTTCCGGCTCCAGGAGCCTAGGGATGTGTAAGGTATCGTGTGCAATGCTGAAGGCCTTCTCCAGATTCTCCCGGGTGGAATCTTCCAGAGCCTGCTTCATGTCCACCAGGCTGGGATCAATGGCTTTGATGACAGCCAGGAAAGCCAGCCCACTCCTCCAGCTGCCCGCAAAGTCCTGGACCGCCACACCATACCTGACGGAAAGTAGCAAGGATAGCAACCACCCAGGTCAGGAAAGGAGCCTGATGAGGAGGTCTGCACGCAGCAGCCTCACTAGCTGACCTGAGAGGGCTAGGTGGTGTTGTTCTGTGTCACCCTGCGAAGACACCCCGGCCCTGACCATCACGAGGGCCACCCTGAGAATCTTCCAATGGAGCAGGAGGTACACATTATCCCAAAAGGCAACCAGACCTTAGTTCCCAAGTCTCTAAATACATGAAGGAGAGATTTTTACACTGCACACATCACACGACGATGGAAAGCGGGCACAGGGGGATGTATTACAGACAGAGCCAGGAAGATCCAAGTGCCTATCTCAGCTGTCCCTCCATGCTTCTGCCTCAGTGACCTTGATTGGGCACAGACCCTTTCTGAGCCTCTAACACTTTAGTTAGAAAACAGAGTGAACACAGGATGACCTTGTGGGGTACTGTGATTGGGAAGGGTGAAGTGCCCACAAGAATGGCCTCATCTAAAGCAGAACTTGGTGTGTGGAGCAGGAATACAAAAGGCACACGATGAGTGTCAGCCAGCACCACCATGAAGATACATAAAATCACAACCTTTTTCCCTCGTGCGTGCGTGTGTGTGTGTGTTTGCGTGTGGGGGAGGGGCACGTGTGTGAAAGCTTGAGACCAACATCAAGGAGTCTTTCTTAATTGTCCTCCATTGTATTCACCGAGGCAAGGTCTAACCACATCAGTATGCTCCGGGTTCAAGCAAGAGACCTTGCCTCGGTGAATACAATGGAGCTCTGGTATTACAGATGGGCTGCCGAGTCTGTAGATGCTGTAAATATGAACATTCTTCCTCAGGCTCACCCAGAAAGTGTTTTAATCACAGAGCCATCTCCCCGGCCCGAAAGCCGTAACTTCGAAAGAGAATGATGCCAGGTGCGGGTTCTCTTTAGACTCCATCCTTTCATGTCTTATTATGCTCATGGAATTAACAAAAATGTAACACCTTCCAAATGCTTCCAATGTAGAAGCTTCAGACCGACCCCTAACAGGTCGCAAACTCCCTAGTCAGAGCTCGTGCCAGCCTTGGCCCAGTGACCTGATCAGAGTACATTCTCACAGCCAGGCATCCAGACAATCTTCAGTAGGACTGTCAGCCAAGCCAAAGTCACCAGCTGCCACATGCACTTGCCCAAGTGCAGGGACGCACGTGTAGCCACAGAACACTCTTATCTCCCTAGCTGACAACTCTCTTTCACACTCGCACTGGCCCCGGCAATGGACTCTTGGGCTTGATTTATTTTTAAACATTTCCTGTCTTTTCATAGTAACCTATTCTAATCGTTCACACTCAACTCCTTCCTTCAATTCCCCAAAGGTCTAGCCTCTTCCCAGCCCCTGGGAAGTGTGCAGAAATGTATGAAGTGGCTGTCAGGAGAGGTACAGATGTTCTCCCCAGTTCTGTCACAACTGTCCTAGAAGGCCACTCAACAGGGGAAGCTTGAACAAGTAAGTGAGGTACAAGCAACTACCACCTAGGTTGTACACAGATGAGCTGAGATGTCTCCGAGTGGGTGTGGCTTCCTCTACACTAACTTGGCACCTCTGACTAAGGGCCAAGATCTGCCAGTAAAACACCTGACGGAAGAACTGCTATAACCAGGCTTAGAAAATAGCAAGAGTGCTGACTGCACAAAGCTGGGGACCTGAGTTTGAATCCCCAGTGCACACACAAAAATCCAGGCACAGCTGCCAGTGTATGTAAGCCTGTCCCTGGGGAGCAGAGACCGGAGGATGCCAGGAGTTTGCTGGCCAGCCTAGTGGAAATGGCAAGCTTCTGATTTAGTGTATGACTCTGTCTTAAGAGAATAATATGGAGATCAGTAGAGGAAGACACCTGATGCCTGCTCAGGCCTCTACATGCTCGTGTGTGCGTGCCCCACACACTCACATGCATACACCACACACAAACTGGAAAAGCACATCACATTCCTGTTCTGATTGCTTATGTGAATCATAGGACCCGTGGATACCTAGTACCTTGGCAGATGGAGTTTGATGCACCTTACCCACCCAGGTCCATGTGTACCACTCCCTGGGCCTGGAAACAGCCTTATGGGGTGGGGTGTACCCATGGTGGACACCGGTGGGCCTGAGGCAGGCGATAGGTGGGCAGGGGGAGATGGCAGCTTACTTTCTTGTTTTCCGCTGCACCCACGCCAGCAGGGTCTTGATGGCCTTCCTCTGGTCTTTCACTGATACCGCCATACTCCTCTCTGTGGTGGGGGTGGGTGGGTAGGAGGAGTCGGAGTCTGTGCCCCCCGAGCCAGGTGACAAGCTGGAAGATGGGGAACTCCTGCTGAGATTGCCCGTGAGCTCCTTTATCTAGAGAGGAAAGGGCAAATCAGACCCAGTGATTCATAAGGGACCCCCGGCCAGTAGGTCGCTCTGACCTGTATCCACGAGACCCTGGTTGGAGAGGCCAGGTTGTGTAGTCCTGGTTCTCAGTCTAGGAGAAGCGTCTCCTGAGAGTCCCGTGGCTATCACCAGCCTAGGCACACATGCCTGCCTTTTGACCAGACTCTCTCTGTTCCCCTGTAACCTGGCACTCCCAGAATGCATCGTGCTTCTTCAGGCTTCACTGTCCCTGTTCACTCTGAGCCTGTTGCTGGCTGTCCCTTTCTCCAGCATTGACATGTGGAGAATGCAGAAGCTCAGGCCTGCCCTACAGATTCAAATGGCGTCTCAGCACCACGTCCCCGCAATTCGTATGCACAGAACATCTGAGAAGCATCACTCAGTGCACACGCCTATCCACACTGCAAAACACTTTCTGGTCACTTCCTCATGCTTTCCTCATTCTGGCCATCCACTTACGGTAGCTGTCCCCGCTCAGAGCTCTTACAAAGCCCTGCTCACACCTCAATTGTGACCCACACCCTCTAGTAATATAGAATCCACGTATCTTTGCGACTCCCCCAAGAAGACAGAGTCCTGTCTTTCTAGCATCTGCAATACTGAAGAAACTCAACAGATGTTTACTGAATGAGTGAAGGAAGCTCTGGGGTCGATGTAAGGCAGTTAGCACATTTCCTGATGTTCCCGGCATCTCTCAGGAAGTCAGGTTAGAGTGACCGGGTCCTGTGCAAATCTCTCACATGGAGCATGTCTTGTGACCACTGCTGCATTTGCGGATGTGGGAACTTAGGCTCAAGTTTAAGGCTTAGACAGAAAGGGATTCATAGCTTCAAACAGTGCTTGTGCATGAACCTCTCTGGACAACAGCAGCCCTAAAGCCCCTGGAAACCTTCCCCTTGTGGACCGCCTTTGTATCTAGACCATGAACCTCAGTCTCCACTTCTTGGTTCTCACTCAGAAAATGGCCAAGTCTGACTCCATGGAAACTAAGCCTTATGATGTCCCTCGATGTGTGCTGTTCTGTGGTTAGAGCAACGTTCAACGCGACAACCACATACCAGAGAGCACCAGGTTTACCTGGAAGAAGAGAATGATGTTCCATATCAACCCGAGAACCAGAGAGGGGTTGCCGTCCGCTATTTCTGCTGCATCAATGCTAACCAGCTTGACCTGGAAAGAAGCAGTCGATGAACACAAAACCCCAAGGGTCTCATCTACCACCTCCACCACCACCCAAGGCCTGCTGTTGTCCACCCAAATGACACAGTGCTATTTGTCATTGCCAAAGACAACCTCTTGGGGGACACCCAATATGTAAAACTGCATTCGATAAAAACATACAGGGCTTACCGTGGGTGGACGCCACCCTAAAGCTTTACAAGCGCTTATGAGGACGGAGTCAATTTACCCCAACCACAAGCCTATCATGTAGACACTTCCCGTACCGCTGTGTGTCAGGAGGGCATGCGCTGACATGCCCAGAGAAATACAATCTGCCATAGAGTGTGCAAAATTTCCACCATTCTCTTCCAAAAAGGGAGGGCAATAGCCCAGAAAGCCTGTATGTCACACGAATACCACCAAACCCCCTGATTGAGCACACCCTTGACCAACTCAGAGCACCAACATCAGCTGTCAGAAAGAGAGAAATAGTGAGCCCACCACAGCAAGGGAGCCTGCATCTCTACCAAATGCTCTACACACCAGCCAGAGAAACTGTCCAGAGGTGGCTCGTTTATTTCACCTGTGTCTGACCATGCAAAGATGTTCCCGATGAACCCCTAAGGCTACCTGCGGCCCGTGAACCTGCAGCATCCCAAGGACGTAGTCAGGGAGGTGCATGTCCCTGACACCCACAGTCTGCACTTCGCCTCTGTGCATGTGGAGGCTAGAGGCTGCTGTCCTGTCTTCCTCTATCAGGCTCCACCGCGTTTTCAAATTTTTATTTATTTACTTACTTACTTTATCTTATCTTATGTATCTTTTTGAGACAGGGCCTCACTGTGTTGCAATGGTTGGCCTACAACTTGCTCAGTAGACCAGGCTGTCCTTGAACTCAGAGATCTGTCTGCTTCTGTTTCCCAAGTACCGGAACTAAAGGTGTGTATCACCATGCCTGGCTCTCTGCCTGATTTGGTGTTTTAAGTCAAAGTCTCTCAATGGACCTGGAACTCACTGATTTGGCCACACTAAGCTGTAGGTGTCCTCCTGTCTCTATTTGCCCCCTGGGGTTGGGGGGGGGAATGGAAGAGCAGACACAAACCACTGCACCTGTATTTTTTATACAAGTTTTAGCTATCAAGTATCAGAACTCAGGTCATCTTAAGCAGCATGTGTTTGACCCTTAACCAAGCCTATTCTGTATTTTAACACACATAGGGTTTCCTGTGTGGGCTCAGGATGGAGGGAGAGCACCTACAGCCAGCATTTCATTCTGTGAACAGCATCTGATTCTGCGTTTCAGCCTTCTGCCAACCTCTCCGGAAAGAGCCACGGAGTGAGTGCGGTGAGCGAGGCCATGCAGGCTGGATAGGTCTCTCTTCCGTTTTCCTCTCCTCATTGAGCAACACTTCCCAAATGTACATAGTTGTCTTCAGGGGCAAGGGGGATGAAGTGAGCTAATCAGAGCAACCTTTCAAAACCCACACTGCAAACTTCATCCTAGGACACTTAGGGGAGGAAAAACATAGAGACATTGTCATCCAGCAGTTTCTCTCTCCACTCTCCCTCTCCATCATGGGTTGTTAAACTGCTCTGGCTTAGGTCTCTGATCTTATCGGTTTATTGGGGGCTCTGACAACCCCAGTTAGGCCTGGGGTAGCCTAATTGAGGCTGACTGCCCAGCTCCCTAGTTGACGGGCCGTTCACAATCGCTGCCAAGAAGGTAATTGAGACAACACGGGCTCATCGCCGGCAGACTGGAGGCCAGGAAGGAAGTTGTCAATACTGAGAGGACCATAAGCCATCAAACTCAGAGCCAACATTCAGTCCGTGCTCCTCTGCCATCACCTGCCCCACATAACCAATCACGTGTTGAGGCTCTCTTGTCTGCTCTCCTACCCCCACGTCCCTTCTGGAAACATCCTCTGGTTTGCAGGTTATAAACTGGAATTCCAGTCCAGTGAACCGCAGGTACTTAAGGGACTGCCATCCTCATCCTCAGTGTGGAGCCCCCCTTGGAGGAAAGAGCCTTCTTCCATTCTTGGGGATGGCCAGATGATAAAATCACCACTCTTCAGATCTCCAGGGACAGTGTCCCCTCCTCTTCCCCCTAACCCAGCCTGTTCTGCCACATTGAATACCGATGAGTCCACTGGGTTATGCGATCATCCTTTCTGTTCTGGGAGCCAGCAGGTTTAGAGACAGAGCTGACTTGGGAGCTTTCATGACAATGAGCATTGACTACTGCAGGTGGCTTCCCAAGTTAGTTCCATCAGTGCTCTCAATGTCCCCATTTCTGAGGTGGCAAAACCAAGGCTTGGCCTGAGTAACTTAGTGGAGGTTCCAGAGCTGGTCCCATACTGAGGTTATCTGCAACCCACGGTTGAAGGGAGGGAAGGAAGGGTGCATGCTGGCTGGTCCTGGGACTCCAAAACACCAGGTTGAGTTGCTGTCTCCACCTACTTCCCAGCTCTGGGCACTGCCACCAAAGACCCAGCAGAGCCAATGAAGCCTGCCCTTCCTGGAATCCAGGCAGTGGCCCAAAGCGGAAAAATAAGGCTCCCTAAGTAATTCTGTGTATTCTGGGAATGGGACACAGCACGCCTCTGGGATGTTATCCTGCCCCCTCTCCATCACCAGCTTCCTCCTAGGAAATGGAACCAACGAGGGACTGAGCCAACAAGCATCCATGTTGGGATACTTCTAAACGTTGTTATAAAAAATTAATAAAAGGGAAGATGGAGTCAGTGCTCCAAGCTGCTGCTAGAGCAGACAGCCTGGAAAAGGCTCACACGTGGAGTACAGGAGGCCAGGTCTTCTCAGTCTCAGCCATGCTGTCCCATGGTACCACATGTACGTAGATCCATCCATGGCAGGAACACCCCCCCCCCCATGCAGATCCTCAGTCCACATAGCCCCATCTCTGTGGGGCTGAGGCCCTTCTCATGCCCTGGGGTGTATGTTGCCTATGTGAATACTCTTCCTTCTGGATCCCAACCCTCTCCAAGGCTAATGGGCATCTTACATAACTTATTACCTGATTCTCCCCAATGCTAGGTAAAGCCCAGGCCCACAAAGACATTCGGATGGAAGCCTATGACGTGCCTGGGTAACTGTGACCATGCTCACCCGTGTGGCATTAACAGTAGGAGACCATCTCACAGTCAACTAAGGCAGAAGGGGAAGGGGTAACCTAGGCAGTTGCTCGAAGACCTCACCCATCTCCTCAGGAATTCAGAGGAGACACTGCTTCGGGAAAGTAAATGCTAACGATGGAACACGGGTGAGCGGCGTCACAAGTTAGTCACCCAGGGAAGTGGCAGAAAATGCCCGCCCAGCCCTTAACGGGGGTGGGCACACCACTTCCTCCACAGCCCTCTGAAGAAAGATCTGTTTCGGATCCTTCTATTTAGAGAGGTGTATGACTTCCCCACAGTCCCTAGAGATGAGTGGGGAGGCCAGGATTGGAAACTGAGGCCTAGTCACAGTAAGGCAAGGCTGATCGTCGCTCAAGTAATGGCTGACAGCGTCCCTGACCCCAAAGAGGGAGCCCTTAGGTGAAGCTGGGAAGGGCTTGTGTTTTAAACGGCATCGTTCAAGCCTCCCACTAAGAGCATTCGGTTCAGTGGGTCTGGTGCGTTTGCAGACTTGTGTGAGCACCACTGCAGCAGACCGTGGACCACAGTCATGATTTCTGGACCCACCAATCATCATCCTGCATCCCTCTGCCTCCCCCAGACCTAAGCCACTGCTGATGTCCTGCCTCTAAAGCCGTTTCTGCATCACGGAAATTTCACATGGACGGAACCATGCAGGAAGCGTTCTTCATGTCAGTCCGCCTCTGTCACTCTGTACCCTGTGCTTGAGGTCCTACGCCATCACACACTCGGCGCGCCAAATGATTTTTCACAACCAAGTCATATTCCTCGGGAGTGCCGATAAATTATTGGTCTGCTTCCGTCTTTAGGCTCTGATACCAAAGGTGCACCAGAGTGCTCTGTGGTCCCCATGCTCTGAACCTTTCACGTCTAGGACTTTCTCTACTGTGTGGCGACTGGGAGACAGAGCCCACCTCCTCTGTGGTGGTGAATGCGCTCTCCATTCCACTTGCCTCTGGGCTGTGGCTCAGCCCCGGGCTTGACACCCACATCATCTTGCCTGGGATGACGCTGCAGTGGTGGGCATCTTCCCAGACTCCCCGAGAGCAGCTGGAAGCAGCAGGGCAGGAGAGCAGGGTCACACCTCTTCCCGCCCTTCAGCGGGTTCTGAGATGATCCAGGCTTTCCCCAGGCTCCATCTTAGACTCTCTGGGTTCCTTCAGGAGCTACTGGACACCCCTCACCCAGTTCCCTTTCTGCTGAGATAGTGCACAGCTGCCTGTCTTACACACAGAACCTCAAAGGAGCCACATCTTGGGGTGATGCTTCATTCTGTATCGACAGGTCAGACAAGCTGAAGACTTTTTACCCAGATCAGTCCAGAAACAAACCTAGTGAGAGGAGGTTTTAGGGTTGTCAGCCCTGGGCCTCCCCTCCCCACCTGTGAAGGACAAGAAACAGTTCCAAATGCAGATCCAGAAATCTCCATGACAGAGCCAAGCTGCTGCCTTTCCCTCTGCCACACTGACAGCCAGGTCCTCGGGTCCCAAGGCTATGTATTGTTTAGCAATCAACCCCAAAACTCTAGAAAACAAACAGCTGCCGGTCTTCTTGCGGACTGCCTATCCTATCCACAGGCACAAATAAGATGGGCAGGACATTGGGGCCACATCCTAGAATGTAGCTTCTTCGAGTGACATCCCTTCACCCTAAGCTCAGGAGGGGCTGGCTATTTCTGCTTTTAAGCCTTTCCATACACCCCTCAACACCACACCAAACTTGAAAATTCTGCCCTTTCTCCCCAGGGCAGGCTGGCGTTGCCGAGACGGATGGGCTTCAAACACTTACATTGCTATCTTCCAGAAACTTAAGTGCTTTTGCTATGTTGTTCAACCGAAAAATACGATGTGATGAGGATTTGTATTCATGCAGCTGAAAAACAAGAGAAGACATCACTAAGCAGGCGCCAGCAAGACAGCAAGCGCCCAGGACCACAGTGGACGCTTTCATTTATCACTTGCTCTTTGGAGAAGGTTAAGGATGATGTTGAAAACACCCACAGAGGAGACATCCAAATGCCTGTGACACTGGGATCCTGGCACTTGACTCACTGGAGCTGGGGAAGAGGGAATCTCCACACGGGACAAATGTGTCCAGTGTTCTCCCCAGCCCTCCCCCTCTCTAGGGACCTGCAGTAATAGCACATGTGACTCTTTGCTTAGGGAAGCGAGCTTGCTGTCCTCGTCACGGCTCGGCTCAGCTCCCCAGCAGCAGCAGACATGGCTGGTTTCTGGCTAAGAACTTTTGCAGCTGGGGCTTTGGGGAGGATGCACAACGGCCAGCTACAGATTGGAGCTCCATTCCTGCCAGAGCGAGCGCACAGTGAGCTCATCTGCAGAGCACACACGTGCCAGTTCCACCAGAAAGGACCTACTGTGCTCTACTGATGGGCAGTAGAGGACTCAGCTTTGCTGAGCTGCAGGGCCAAAGGTCAAGGCCATGGAGGTTGTCGCCACGTGCCCTGGCTTCAAAGTGGGAGTCCGTCTACTGGGAACACAGAACAAGGGGCTGAAGTGTGCTTTCTTACAAGGCCTTTGGCAGCCCCTGCAGCTTCACTGAGACCTGCCAAGAATGCCTCAGCCTACTGTGAAGAACTTCCAGGCCTGAGTGCACTCAACGGCATCTTTTACTTCCCGAGTATGAGTGGGGATGACAGGCCTCTTACCATGCATTTCGGAGTAGCGCTGTTTGTGTGTTTGGTTGGTTGGTTTTCGAGACATGGTTTCTCTGTGCAGCCCTGGCTGTCCTGGAACTCACCATGTAGCCCAGGCTGGCCTCAATCTCACAGAGATCCACCTGCCTCTGCCTCCCAAGTGCCAGGACTAAAGGAGTGTGCCATTGTGCCAGGCAAGAAGCCATGCTTTTAAAGTCAGGTCCAGAGCCAGCGTGGGCTGTGTTGTGCAGATAGGCACAAAGGGCTACCAAGGTCAAATCAAACACTCAAGATGGAGCCAGTTTCTCAACTTAAACACATCTGGCATCTAAAAGAAGGAAGATTTTATTGTTGTCTATGTGGGCGTGCGTGCACAGGTGCAGATGCCAGCAGAAGTGGTTGTAAGCCACCTTGTGTAGATCCTGGGAATCCAAATCCAGCCCTCTGTGAGAGCCATAATCTCTGTTAACTGCGGAGTCATTTCCCAGCCCCTGTGACAGGCATCTTGGACTGGATCATTGGCCACCTTGTGGGGGAAGAGGAGGTATATCTGACAATGCCTGGGAACATTTTGGTTACGATACTAATGGGTGTTCCCCGCATTGAGAAGTTACGTCTTCTTAGCCAACAACCATGGATGATTTTCCCTAAGTCTCAGCCGTAACTTCGGTTAACACAATGCTTAGTCCAGTAACTTGATCCTTCGATTCCAATTCTGAACCATCACAGGCTGTCCTCTGACCTCTACATATCCACTACATACTATTCCATGTGTACCCTTTCCACACATGTGTGCACAAATACACAGTAATAAAATAATAAGAGAAAAAGATACTACTCAGTTACATATGTTCATATGTAACTCATTTTAAGATTCACTTATTTTTATTTTGTGTATACGAGTGCATGTATGCATGTGTACCATGTGTGTATAGTGTCTGCAGAGGCCACAAAAGGGCATCAGATTGGCCTTGAACTAGAGTTACAAATGGTTGTGAGCTGCCATGTGGTGCTGAGAATCGAACCTGGGTCCTCTGCAACAGCAGCCAGTGTTCTTTAACCGCTGAGCCATCTCTCCAGCTCTCATATCACTCTATTTATTTTAAATTTATTTGTGCATATGTGTCTGTCACATGTGTGCAAGTGGCCTCAGAAGACAGAGAAGAATACTGGGACCTTCTGGAGCTGGAGTTCGAGGCCATTGTGACTGTCTGACGTCGGGGCTGGAAACAGAACTCAAGTCCTCCGTAGGAGTAGGAAGTGTTCTTAGCTACTGAGCCATCCCACCAGTCCCACACTTCATATGATAAAGGATGTCAGCCTTCAGCATTTCCTGTCTAGATGTGTGCATACATTTATTTCCCGATGTCATGGTTACATCTGGGATGTTCCCCCAAGATCTACACACTGAAGACTCCAGGTGCTGCTGGCCGATACACACCAGCCTTTGCGGCTACTGGCTGGTGATGGAACCTTTAGGGGGTGGGGCTTGGTGGGAGGAAGTCAGGTCTTTTGAGGTGTGCCCTTGAGAATAATGTTGGAATCCCTGGTCCCTTTCTTTTTGCTGCCATGAAAGGAGAAGCTTCCCTGCTACACATTCGTGTGATGTTCTGTCTTTCCTCAGGCCCAAAGCAACAGGACCAAGTGGCCATAGTTACTTCCAAACACACGAGCCCAAACAAACCCTTCTTCCTTTAAACAGTTGACTTGGGCACTTTGTCACAGTGATGCGAAGCTGGTGCCCAGATGAAGACGAAGCCTATGAAGTACTTCCTTTTGTACTTTCCCCAACACACATACCAGATTTCGCCCGGAGAGGACTTCTAGCAAAGCCATTAGGATTTTGCCATCTTGAATATCAACGAATAGGTCCGTAACTTCTAGAGGTGGATCACACTGTAGGACAGGAGGAAAAGAGACCCGTTAGTGACCTGGGTGGTCAAGAGAGAAACTTGCAGTGCTGTAGACATGGCTCAGCAGTTAAGAGTAGTGGCTGCTCTTCCAGGAGGGCCCAGGGTTCAATTCCCAGCACCCACACGGCAGCATGCAGAAGTCTGTGGCTCCAGTTCCAGGGGATCTGACACCCTCACAACAATGCACGTAAGACAGTTAAATAAATTATCTTTTTTTTTAAAAAAAGAGAGAAACTTGCAGGCAGAAGGATCACCTGAGAGCCAGAAGCCCTGGAAGGGACCTCTGGCCAGCAGGTGTAGGACTGCTTGGTGTGAGAGCTGTATAAAGGAACGAATTAAGAGGCTTTGGAGGAGCCCCTAACATAAGATCTCAGACCCCAAGGCTGGATCACAATCCGGCTTCTGTCTGAGGAGAGTAAGAAATGGCACGTCCCATATGTTTCCAAAGCATAAGGAAATTCGGGGTCCAGGGTGATGATAGCTCAGTTGATAAGTATCCGCTGCTGTACCAGCATGAGGACCTGGGTTCAAGCCTCCAGTGCCCAAATAGACAGCTGTTATCCCAATGGTGAGAGGTTGACACAGGAGGACCCCTGAAGCTTGTTGGTCAACCAGCTTTGCTGAATCAGTGAGCCCCAGTCCCACCCAGTAAGGGATGCTATCTACAAAAAAACAAGGGGGGTGGCTTCTAGAAAACACAACTGAGGTTAACCTCTGGCCTCCACAGGCACCCACATTCTACCTATCTACATACATCAAAATAACACACACAGATACACAGATGCGCGCACACACACACACACAAACACACACACACACACTTCTGTTACGGCTCATGGAAAATTACCTAGTGCAAACACTCAGTTTTGATTTGGAAAAAGGGAGGAGCTAGGAGGCTGGGTGATCATCAAATAGCTATTTGGTAAAATCCAGTGTCCTGCATCTGTCCTTGAACAGTCGGAATGAATGCAATGGAGATCCAATAGGTCAGAAGCCTGCATTCTTGAGCTCCTGCGGCCTTGGCGAGAATTTCCCCTTACCTTTGTCCAGGTTAAGGGAGTGATTGGATGCTTCAGGAACCCTCAGGGACAATGGGACGCACTGCACTGCCCCTAGCTAACTGGGGCAGCGCAACTCTTCCCAGCACACACCCGGGGTGAGGAAAATCTCAATACAATGTTAGCTGGGCCAGCACCTTCTCTTCTGGGAAAGCTTCCTTCCTTCTGTGGCCCCTTGGTGGGATCATGTTTTACTGGTTAAGGAAGGTGGCATTTCCTCACCCTTTATATGAGTCCTAGTCTGCTGCCCCAGTTAACCAAAATATAGGCTGAGGCTATCTACAGGTGCACAGAAAAGGGCACGCTTCAAGGGTTTCAGGGAGTTTGAACCAAAAGGCAATGTGTTTTCTTTGCAAATCCTGCAGCCTCAGCCACATTCCATGCCTGGCAGACTGCTTCCTTTTAGGAGACCCCAACCAAACACCCCTGATGAATGGGCTAACAAAATTCCCAGTTAGCCGCCTGACAGGGGTAGAACCTGGCCTGGGGCTAATTTCCCTCGGCTGTTCCTGGAAGGGCCTCAGCATCAAACAGGACCTTGGCCAGAGTCCACCGCTGGACGGCAGGGGGTTAGGCTGAAACCACTCCAGTCCAAACACTCCCCGGACCAACATTCCCCAGGCTTCAGGAGTCTGCTACAGCCGGAACCACAGTACCCCTCACCTCCCCAGGGCTTTCTGCATGATCGAACTCCTTCTGTAAATTAAGGAATTTTTCCAGAAGCCAGAGACTCAGTAAATATTCCTGACAGCCTTCAAATTGCAGTTAAGCCCAATTCACCAAGGACTTCCTAGGTTTCCTTTGCATGAAAGGCTGTTTTTAAAAGTCTCGGGGCTGGAAACAGGGCCGTTAATTTCTCTCTGCTTATTACACATCGCTTTCAGGTGCTGTCTGATTTATCCTCAGAATGGGTGCTACATGCGACCTACCTGCTCCTCCCTCCCCCCAAAAAAGGGACAAGAGCAGGCCTGGCCAAAGAGAGTGTCCTTGACATGACAAATGCATGTTCCAAGAGGTTCACACTGGGTGGCAGGTAAGTGTGGGGCATTTGTTACACGACTCTCGGCTCTTTTCAGTATTTATTTATTTTCACTATAAAAAGAAAGACTTTCTGGCTCTACCCTGTCCCCTGCTAGGAATTCTCAAGCAGGCCGACATGCATCAGGCATTAATTTAGGGGCTTGCCAAGCTCAAGATTGGGGACTGGTTTTCCTTTTTTGTCCTCTCGAAACCCCAGTAATGTTTTACTTTATGTGCAATGCCAAAAATGCGCCCTCAGCCAAAACAACCAGCAAAGGATTTATCATGCTTCGAGTGTGATCCCTTGTCGTTTTCCATCTCGTGCCTAAGATGCTCATGGGGGGGTGTGACAGCACCATGATATCCATGCTAAAGGAGGGACGGGGGCTCAGGAGGGGCAGGACACACGTGCCTGCTCAGGACTCAGGCAAGTGTGAAAGAGAACCGCCTCAGTCAGGAATTCCACTTCCTGCTTTCTAATAATGGCACGGGTTTCTTCCAGGCCAGTGGTTCTCACCCTTCTTAACGCTACGACCCTTTAATACAGTTTCTTACACTGTGGTGACCCCAACCATAAGCCATTTTCATTGCTATTTCATAACTGTAATTTTGCTAATGTTATGAACCATGATATAAACATCTGATATGCAGCATATCTGATATGTGACCCTTGTGAAAGGGTGATTCAACAACCACGTGCGTGGGGTCGGGGGTGGGGGTGGGGGGCGCAACCCACAGGTTGAGAATCACTGCGCCAGGCCAGCAGTGGCTATGCTTTTACTTTTGAAGAAGAGAGAAACACTTTAAATTTCCTACAGTGGTGGGACAGCCAGCTTCCAGAAGACAGGAGAGACCGGGGGGGGGGGGGGGGGGGGGGGGGGGGGGGGGGGGGGGGGGGGGGGGGGGGGGTGCAGGTAGATGGAGAACAAGAGAATGTCCATAGGGGAGAAGAGGTGGTGTTGGTACAAGAAACATCAAATCATCTGGCTTTCTCCCAAGACAGTCTCATGTAGCCCAGGCTGGCCAAGGACAACCTTGAACTTCTCATTTCCTGCTTCCATCTCCCAAACTGCCCAGATTACAGGTGGGTACCACCACAGCTAGCTTATTTGGTGCTGGGAGTCAAATCTAGGGCAAGCATCGGCTCCCCATCTTCAGCTCTACAGGTCAGCTTTCCTGAAGTGTGAATTTTCTTGCAGTCTCAGGAAACTTGGGATAACATATTCCAGGGGCCTACAGGTCCAGTCTCACGGGCACGGGGAGCTTGCATTTCTGCATGCTTTCTTCTCTTTCCTCACTGAGTGTTGATCACCTGCTCGCCCCTCCTCTCCTCCTCCTGCCTGAGACTGCGTCAGCTGCTGGATGCTATGTGTGCGCAGCAGACACAACAGAAAAGTCAAGCTGCATGACCAAAGAACGTGAGAAAGAGAAAGAGAAGAGCCCCTGAGACGCTGTAGAAGAGCTCAGGGAGCTTGGGATGTCTGCGCACCTGGGTCCTCATTCTAACAGTCTACTGTGGGCTGTGGGAGGACTCAAGGAGACCCGGCTGGCAGTGTGCGGCATGACGCAGGCTGCCTGATGCGGAGCATGGCTCTTCACCAACCACGTTTAAGAGGCTTTGCTAAAGGATGTTCAGAGCTCTTGCTCGTGTCAGTTCAATGATGGCTGTCAACACCACCAGAGTGGACAGCTGGACCGTGTCTGATGTAGGGTGACGGCCTTCTGCCCATGGAAGGCCTGGAATTGCTCAACATGGAATAGTGTCCATTGTCCACTCATGGATTTTCCTCCCCGGCTACGTGGGTAATCACAGAACAGCTGTGTCTGCTCCACATACTGAGAGTGGAGAGTAGTGAGAAGACCCCATAAAGATACAAATGCACAGAGCTATGGGTGCACTTAAGCCATGGGGATGGCTTAGTCCATGAAGCCCTTGTCATAGAAGTACGGGGACCAGAGTTCCAACACCTAGAACCCAGAAGTGGTGGCATGTAATCCAATGCACCTCAACTGAGACAGGAGGTGGAAATGGGAAAAGTCACAGAAGCTCATGGGATGGCTAGCCTGGTGTGTATAGCAGTGAGCAAGAGACCCTGTCTCTATAAGGTGGAAGGCAAGGACTGATACCTAAGTTGCCCTCTGATTTCTGCATACTTACATACATGAACATAGACATGTCCACACACATACATACTATACAGTACACAAAGTCACACACACACACACACACACACACACACACACACACACACACACGGCAGGGATCATGTCTCCTCCATGCCGAACCACCAGTGTAGCTGCAGGCGAATCTGTGACTTACCCACTCCCAGACCCCCACTTGCCTTTTCCAGGTGTAGGTTTATCCATCGCGTAAAAGTCCTCTTCTGCACATTTTCCCTCTCAACTGCAAACAAAGAAATGCCGTTAGCCAGGGAACAGAAGAAACATGGGCAAAATCCTGCCCCCCTTTCCGAGGAAATTCCATATGGACAGACGGCAGACTGAACCCTGCAGGGTCCCTGGCATGAGCAAAACCCTTCACAGAAGGGGCCCACCGGGGGCTTATGTAGTACCTGATCCCCATTTTCCAGCCCAAGATTAAGCCTCTACGTAACCCCACGAATTCAGACTGATTTTGAGTATCCAGTCACCTGGCTATAAGGCGAATAAGCTCTGGTGGAAAGTAGCGTGGTCACAGTGAATCTACACAGATGCCTAGAGGTGGAGGTACAGAGCCGTGGGATGGGGAGATGGTTCAGTGGGCAAAGCCCTTGCCAGGCAAGCGTGAGGACCAGAATTAGGATGTCCAGAACCCAGGAAAAGGCAGACACAGCAGAGTGCATCTCCAATCCAGGAGCACCTGTCTCCATCCCAGGCTGGGATAAAGACAGTGTTAGGGATTCGGGTGGGAGCTCTGGGATGTGCTGGGGTGTTGAAGAAATAGTCTTCCAGCCTTAGGGTCAGACTCCCTGTCACTTTCCAGTTCCTTGTATTCAGGCCTGTCTCCCACCCCTACTTCTGCAAGCTGAGGATGAGAGGCCCACTCCAAAGTTCATGGAGAGAACCTGGGGTCCTGCATTCCATGGTAATGCAGGTGTTTTTGAGATAGGGTCTAGGATGGCTTCTAACTCGGGACCCTCCTGCCTCGGCCTCCAGAGTTCTGCATGTGTCATCGTGCCCAGTTTTATAGCTCTCACTTTTAGAGCTAGACTAGAAGATTCTGCAGGCACCTGATGCCTAGCCGTGGTGAAAGGACAACTTCCCCGAGGTGCTGAGGCGGAACTCCTAATTTACCTGCAGATTACTAAGCTCTGGATTTCAGCACAGTAGAAGAACATACTACAGACGTCGGAAAACACTTCATACTCCTTTAGCAAGGAGAAAATGAGAGCCAATATGTCTGCTGCCGGAGAATAAGGCTTCACTTTTGCTTTTCCATAATGACTACAGTGCTTTTTTGGCCCTTGGCCACATGGTTAGGTAGATAGTGGCACCCATAAATCAGATTTTAATATTGTGCCCTTCGTGCTTTTTAATTGAAGAGCCAGCAGACAGTAATTACGCAGGTGACTGCCTTCCTCTCCTTTGTCTCCTTCTCTAAAGAAGGTCACTGACAAGCAGGCCTGCCATTTAAAGCTCTGATCCCAGCAGGCTGTGCTTCTGGGAGAGGGAAAGGAGCGGTTGACAGCAATAAGAGTTGAGACAAGGAGGCCACTTCCTGAGGTGACGGAGTCCCAGAACCCCAGAGACGCCTGAGAGCTGGAGCAGCCCATCTCAAGCGCCAGTTCAGAAATGTCCACCTCTGGACCTAGCACTGTCTTGTTCCTTTTGCTGGCTGAAGTTTTCCAGGGTACTTACTGGGTTGCCAAGCCCTGCTCAAAGGACGCAGTGACTACTTCTCATCTGCCACTAATAGGAGTGACACACCCATGTGCAGCTTTGCACCAGCACCCCGGCACACAGCTCTTTGTGCACAAGCAAGCAAATGCATTTCTCATCCTTGATGGCTCCAAGTGGGGCTGCTGGGTCTTAGTGGTAGGCACATTTAAAATTTTAATAGCCACTTCCAAACTGCCCTCCCCAAAGGCTGCCCGAGTTTATACTTTCACCCCCATCTGTCTTTAAACAAGTTTATGGGGATTGTAAAGTATTTACACACACACATTCAAACACCCAGGTTTGCTTCTCCAGCTGGCCTCAGAGAGAGCAAAGCACAGACCCCGAAACAGAGAAGCATTTAGTAAGAAGGCTGAGAGAGACCTCACAGCTGAACTGCGTGTGGGGATGCAAACGTGAACATGGGTGCCTACTGCCAATCTACAACCACACAACCTCTCCATTCATCCATCCACCCAACCAACCACTTACGTCTTCCCGTTCCTCCATCTATGTCTTCACCTACCCGCCACCTACCTCCCCACCTATTCACCTGCCCAACATGGCATCCACTTAACCACCCAGCCATCTATCTGCCCGTCCATATCCACACACTCGCCCATCCACACTAGCAGCTGATATTTATACAAAGATGACTAGACATTGGAACAACGCCAGGCCCTGTGGGTAAAACCAGCAATTAAGTATTCACAGAATCTGAACTCCAAGAATTCCGGCAAGTGGGAGGGAGAAACAAAGATGGCATGTGGAGCAAGTGAAAGGGAGAACGGAGTAGAAGAGCCAGGCTTACAGGGATGGAGGGTGCTGACTTTGCATCCCATAGGGTACTCTTCTGGGGCCCTACAGGAGAAGAGGGACAGAGGGACTCAGGCTGTGTATGTATTCAAACCCTGCTCTGATTCAGAACCAACCTTGAGTTGGCTTTGCTTCTGTCCCCAACAATCCCTGTGGGGAACACTGAGCAGAAACCATCTTTTACAGGAGGGGTTTGGTGATGATGATGGATAGCGGGGGACAGACAGACACAATCACAAATAGCAGACAGGCTCCAAGCTAAAACTGGGACACATCACCCAATCCACAGGAGAGAGTCTGAGGGGCTCCAGACTGCCGCACAACCACTTTGTGGCACACTGTACAACTCTGGGCCAAGTTCTCACTCTACGAAATGAGGACAGCCATGTCCACCTCCGAGGAACGGTATGGGAGCACATGAGGTCACCCTGAGATCATCCTGGCAGCCGCTGCCTCCAGGCCAGTTTCCCCGACCCCTGGCTCACACAGCACACCCTGGACTTAGAAATTTTTGTCTGGTGTCCCGACAGAGGCCCAGTACACTTGCACGGCACTCTCCATTTCAAAATGTGGCCCCCTCCTGCAGGCATTCCTACTTCGGGCCTGCCAAGACTCCATAAACTTTATATAGTTTCCATAAATCCAACGGCCCCTTTTTTCCTCTCACGTTGTAAAGGTGTAGGAAGCCGTTTCTCTGGAAAGGTCTGGCCTGAGCACGGAGTGGCTGTGGGGCCCAATGTGGGCAACAATGAAGTAATAACAACGCTGTAAAATTGCCATCCCAGCTCTGCCTGGCCAGTGGGGATGCCGGAGGAGCAGGCAGGGGGCAGAGGGAGAATTCACCAGGCCCAGGACCCCAAAGACTAGGCAAAGGAGGGGCAGGAGACTGGGGAGGCCCTGCTGTCTAGCCCAAGGCCACAGCCCCAAATTCCCAGATACCAATTCTGCCTCCGGCTTGGCTAAAAACAGATTTTCTGAAACCGGAAGATGGGACATTTCTCCCCGTCTGCAGGCACCGAGGGGTAGGCAGGCTTGGGAGCTGGCCGTCACTGAGAAAGGGACATGTTCTGGGAGTTAAATTCCTTCAGATAAAAGTGTGGTCCTCACCCCTCCGAAGGAAATTTCTCTTGGCAACAGACAGAGAACCACAGAAAACCGCAACCAATCACAATGCAGAGCTGTGGAGTCCAGACCCGATGGATACATCTACAAATCACTTCCCCACCTAAGGCCCAGGGACCGCTGTGCGAGAAAGAACAGCAAGAGTGTGAGAGGCAGCGGGTCATAGAGTTTGCTGTTAAATTGTCTCCTAGGAACATGGGAAGCTACAACCATAAAGTCTCGTTGCCATGACTGCCAGAACATGAATAGAACAAGGATATAACATAAGACATGCTTACAAGGATATGGGGGTGGGCATGGGGGAGCCTAGGAGGCCTCAGCCCTACACAAAGAACTACAGACAACTAACGAATGTCAAGAGGGAGGAGAAACAGTCTCCCCCAGGTAGAGCACACCAATTGGTTATCCAACACCAAAGGGTCAACCCTGAAAACACACATACAAATAATATTATACAGACTGAGAAAAAGTTGTCTTATGTATTTAAAAATCTCTCTCTCTTTCTCTCTCTCCCTCTCTCTCTCTCTCTCTCTCTCTGTGAGTATGTGTGTGTGTGTAACAGCAATTAGTGAAAAAAGAGGCTATGGATTTGAAAGAGAAAAAGGTGAGGTATTGGGAGGGTCTGGAGAGAGGAAAGGGAAAGGAAAAATAATGTAATTATACTAATCTCAAAAAAATAAAAGAAATAATTAAAACAAAGAGATTCCTTTGCATTTATGGTCTTTTTGTCTCCGTGGTCATATTTCTCCAAAAGTTACTTCACATACAGCATTTCCTCTGTAACATATCTGTTCTTCCCAACCTGGGGGAAACACTTGAGAGCTTTTGCTACTTACAAAAAATTACATGATCCTGGAAGTGAAAATCTCTTTAAGTTTCATTATGCCCAGAGAAAACATAGACGCACACTATGTGCACACACAGCTAACATGTGGATCCACATTCAATCTCAGTGTGATGAGGGATGACTCAAAGTACTGCCTACGCTCATGGACAGGGCCCCTGGGCGACGGTTAAAATGATCATTTCTGAGCTCCGTTCAAAACTTAAAAAACACTTTTATTATTATTTTTAATGTGTAGTGTCTGTGCACATGTGAGTATGGGTACCATTGGAGACCAGAAGAGGGCATCAGATCCCCTGGAGCTGAGGTTATAGGCACCTGAGAGTCAGCTGGCTTGGATACTAAAAACCATTATGGTCCTCTATAGGAGCATCAGGCACTTATAACCTCTGAGCCATTTCTCTAGCCCACGTTGATTTTTTTTTTGAGACAGTATTGGCCTCGAACTCTCTACGTAAGAGAACCTTGAACCGAGAAAAAGGGCATTTGCTGCCTCACCTGACACCTGTGTTGCTAGAGGTGGAACCCAGGGTTTCATCCACGCTTGACAAGCAATCCACCAACTGAATAACATCCCCAAACTCTGTTCAAGACACCCAGACTCACATGCTCTGAGGCAGGGCCTGGGAATCTGCTCATCACGTGTTCAGTGACTAAAGAGCCTGCATATTGGAAGAAGAGATAATCACAGATGGCGTCTTGGTCTTTGGGTGATGCAGACAATGCTAATAGGTGTGATGATGGGA